GGCAGCTGAGGCGGCTTTGCAGAGCCTGTCCGGGGTAAAAATGCCCCAAATGCCTCTGCAGAACCTCCTTAGCCGCCGGCTCCTGAAAGGAGACAAAGCCAATCCAGTGCCTGGCACAGGGCTCCTGCTTAAACCAGTACAAGTGACCGCTCCTTGGGTTTTGACACAATTTGTGACAAAATTTGCACTGTTCACACCCACCCTGCACCGTTTCGATGCTCTCACCCCGTGCATGCCTTCCCCGCACCTCCACTTGGCCGAAAGCATCTCCCGCTCTGCCAGCGAGGTCACGGCACCGTCCGTCTTACAAGCCGTTGACATCACAGAGGTGTCATCTGGCACGGAGCGCGACATGGAGACGCTCCAGCCACCGTTCCGCGGTTCCCGATGTAGAAATGTGGCTCAGTTTCCAGCCGGGCGCTCTGCCAAGGAGTCAGGTGAGTCACGGACACAAAAGTGCTTCCCGACAGCCTTGCAGCCTCCTCGGCATGGCTGTGACCGTAACGCAGCTTCCGTAGCACCGCTCGCAGCTCGGAAGGCGTTAGACCATGTCTCCTTCGGGTAGAGCGCGGCCCCTGAGCCTCATGTTGCTTTTGGGGATGGGGATGGCATCGGAGAGGATCAGCTGCCCGAGCAGGTGTAGCTGTCGGTACCTGGAAGTGAACTGCACGGGGCAGCAGTTGCAGGACTTCCCCGCGGCCATCCCGCTGGACACCAGGCAGCTGATTCTGGCGGCAAACAACGTCTCGTACCTGCCGGCAGTGGAACTGAGCTTCTTGGCTGATTTGGTCTATCTGGACTGCAGGAAGAACCTCTTGGGGGATGACCTGGATTTCACTTTCATTGGTGTGGCCAAGCTTGTCTATCTGGATCTCAGCTTCAACAACCTCGCACAGGTCACCTTCAGCACCTTCTCACACCTCCTCAGCCTGGTGGTGCTGAAGATCTCAGACAATCCCAACCTCGTGACCATCGAGAAGGACGCTTTCGCCAACAATACCTGGCTGAGGCACCTGGATGTGAGCCGGACGGGCTTAACATTCCTGGACACCAGCACTGTCCGGGACCTGCCCAACCTGAGGTTTCTGGGGCTCAGCGAGAACCTGTGGCACTGCAACTGTTCCTTTTTGGACTTCATCACCTGGATGACAGAGAGCAACGTTCATTTTCCAGGTGAGGGCTGTGTGAGCAGGACCTCTTTCCTCCCTACTCCTGCAGATCTGTGTGGAACGGAGACGGCTCTCTGTTCTCTTTCCCAAAACTTGAGCTCGCTGGGGCTGTGCCATTGCATGTCGACTGTGGGTCCCAACCTCTGGTGTTGCGCAAAACAGGGATTGGAGCAGGTGGGGTGCGCATCCTCGGGACAGTCAGGGAGGTGTAACCTGTAGCTAGGATGTTGCTGCTGCTCCAAAACGCCTGGCTCCTGCCTCGGGAGGTGCCTCCGTGCCTGCAAGTCACAGCACCCCGCGGCTGCGGTGCCAAGAACAAGGAGCCCAACGTGGTGCGGGGAGCTCTGCGCTGGGAAAGCTGCTGCTCTGCATTTCCTGCTTTGTCTCCATCTGCTCCGATCGTTTGGTGCTGCTGCAGTACCAGCATGTCCGTAACGATCGGTGAACCCCCCCTTCTCTCTGGGGAAATGCTCTCCTGCCTCTGTTCTGACCTGCTCGGGGCAGCCTCTCCAGCCACGAGCTTTCCACCGTTCGGCCAGTGTCCCCTTCACCTCTAACACCTTCCTGCACAGCATGCCTGGCAGGCAGACCTCATTCGTGCAGCCTCTGCAGCAATTCTGCTCCACGCCGAAAACAAAGCCGGGTTGAAAGCCAGGCAGCTCCTCTCCTTGCTCTCCTCTCTCACTGACCGGGTCTCCGGGAAAAGTCCAGGTGCTGTGGAAGCCAGCGAGAGTTTAGCTGCTGACTTCCACGGGGCTGTGATCACACCCTGCTCCCCATCGACCCGTTCCTGTACGCAAAGAGTGAAGGCAATGCCCTTTGCCTTAAAAGCACAGTAGCTGTTGTGCTAGGACAGATAAAAATTACAAATCCTGCAGCCCCCGGCCGTCGCAGTGCTCCTAGCCCTCAGAGCAGGTACCTTTGATCCTCTGCATCAGCCTGTGACCCAAGGCTCAGAAGTCAGAGAAAGATGTTCTGCTGTGCCCGTGGGAGCTCTGGTTTGGGTCCCAGCTGGCATTTGATGGTCAGAGCGAAACAACACAAGTTATGCTCAGAAAAGTGTCTGTGTCCTTATGGGTGGGAGGCTCTGTGTGTTCCCACTCTTCCTCCGGCACCCCGGAGCAAAGCGGCTCTCTGTTAAGTTTTCCAACACGAGGAATGCAACGCAGGTGAGCACTGAGTCCCGCGGGCTGCAGCAGCACAGCGCAGCTTCCCTCTGGATAGAAGCCATTTCTTGAAAACAGGGTCTCCGAGACATCTTTCCTTCTATCATCTGGGACGCCAAAATCAGCTGTTTCCCGTCGTATTGAGAGATTCTACGAGTGGGCTGTGGACGCCGAGCGTTCGTGAGGCAGGGTAATCACCAGTTCCCTTTCCCAGAAAACCACTGGTCCCGAGGGCAAAGCTTTGTTCTGCAGCTGCAGCACATGAACTTGGTTTTTCCAAACTGAAAAGGACCACGACACAGCACGTACTAACGGAGCAAGCTTCGTCTTCAGGGACACGTGACACAATGGCGAGAGAGAGCTGCAGAAGAGAAAGCGTTTGAGAAAGTCTGTCCAGCAAATAAGAGGCACAAAAGAGCCCAAAGGGAGAAAAGGGAAGGGCAAATGGAAGCTGGTGTTAGGACAGAACCCAACTGAGGACATCTCTGTGTCTTATTAGATGTAGTAAGCTCCCTAGAGACAATAAAGTTTTTTATTTCCCTCATACATGTTACAGACGGTTATGGACCAGTGTAAAAAAGTACTGTTCGTAGCAGGGAGATTGGAGGTAACACACTGAACTCCACAACGGGAGAATAAAGCTCACTGCAGGCAATTTGAGAGGGTAGGAGTAGGAAAGGAAGTGGCAGCAAAGACTGGGGGTGTGAGTACGGGTCCCTGCGCCGTGCTCTGGAAAATGAGAAAGCCAAAGAAACCTGGGACGTCGCGGAGGCTCCCGCTCCACTTCCCCGCTCTGTTGGGCTTCGCTGCGACCTGGCGAGATGCTGCGGGTGAGTCCGCAGGATGCCCTGTGCCTCCAGGGCTGGTGTGAGGGCTGTGCAAAGCTTTCACGCTGCCGGTAAGCGTACACGGGCTGGAGGCCCCGAATCGCAACATCGTGGTTTAACCCGGCGGGCA